GCGGACAGAAACTAAATACCTCAATCTACTCACTTCAACTTCGCGCCAACTTTAATGTTGGGTGGTACAAATACTTGATTCGAAACCCAAGAATTATAATAACTCTTAAATCGTAAATCCTGACATAATTTAGCGAGCAAATAGGCTTTCAGTGCAGCGCGAATGAACTCTAGAAGCAATTTTACAACTGTAATGCCGGCCACGCTATCTAAACTTACACCACCCATTTCTCTTAGATAATACCAAGTAGACACCATGACATCCAACCCGAGAGCTACAATTCCTGCATTGAGTCAGTCATAACTTTATTTACACCTATAGAATAAACTACAAAACTTGAGTTTTTCAAAGCTGAGAAGATACATCTGTAAAAATCACAAGTTCAATTCAACCATGATTAGTCTCCATGAATTTGCATGCCCAAATCAACATGTGTGCAGCCCCCCCCAAATTCCATACTGAATGTCGACAGAGCATGCCAACACATGTATTTACTGTTTCAGCACACAGCAAATCATTTGACTTGACTTATGTATACTTTTGACCTTCTGAGTGTCGCAATAAGACATAATCGACGATTAGAGGTCACAGCAGAAAATGGGCCAGCCGCGCTTCGCTTGGCTGGGCGCCCCCTCGGCGCCCCCGCGGTTCGCTGCGCTCGCAATATGGAGATAGAATGTTCTGGAAAGTGTAGTGCTCGGCTCGCTGGTGAGCTCAGCGCTGGGCCCGCCTCCGCAAATACCGCGCGGCCCTGCTTCGCGGGCTCTCCGCGCAAGTTTGCTGCGGCTACGCGCCTCGCACCCGCTCACCTTAGTTGGCGCCGCGGCTATGGCACCCACGTCGCCCAGCCCCGTGTGTGTTATCCCAGCGATGGACGTGTGTTTCTCCTATTTTCTCCTGAATGTCATAGTTGTGGTGTGGTTGGATCTTCCCCGACCCACGGACCCTGAATAATGCCGAGCACTACCTTTCTCGAGGAGGAAGACAAGGAGCTGGTGCAAGTTGCTCGCCAATATGTTGACCAGGGAGTAGTGCGTATTGCGTAGAAGGATGTCGCTGCTAAGATGAAACGTTGGAGGCGTTCACCCAAGGAACTTGCCCAGAGATTGAGCTCGCTTAAACGCACCTTCGGATCAGAGTTGTCAAAATTTCCACGCTGTTTTTACACTCCTGTCCGCGCCTCCCGAGGTCGCAGAAGTGCTCAAATACTGCGCATCCATCAGCCCCATGGTAGCGCCGGATCGTCCAAATCGACAGTGCAGGGACCTAGCCAGCAAGGGCATGGAAAGTCTTTCAAACAACAGCGAAGCAGAGTATCATCTCACCCAAACGACATGGAATTTGTGTCTTCGTTATCGGAAGCCACGCGGCCGTCAACTGTAGAGGATTCTGGTCCAGCGACGACCAATTTTGGCCAGACGCTAGCAGAAAACACTCCGTTGCCAATGGATGGAACTATGTTGGAAGCTCCAGAGCCTTTCGCCGCAGTGGCAGCCAAGCTTTTTGTTTCGGCGAAGCAATATGACACTCGATCATTACTGCATGACAACAATGTACCACGTGATGTGCATCAAGTTGTAATTACGATGTTCAAGAATATATCTTGGAGCGAGGTCGTGTACCCACCCGGTGCAGCTCATCTAAATGCTGGGGAGATACTACCGAGTGGGGTGTCGTCGATGATTGCCTCAATACACCAGATTGGTGTGATTGGGGCTTGGGATATATTTCTGGATATAGGCTCTGGCGTCGGATATATCGTAGTTCAATTTGTGCTTTTAACTGCTGTTCGATCGAGCATTGGGATTGAAATACGTCGTGATCTAGTAGGTCGTTGCAATGGGATATTGAGTGAACTCGTAGTGAGCTGGCCAAGACTGCAAAAATGCCGAGGTTTACGCTCAGGATGTGAAAAAGATCGATCTGTCAACTAAGGCTCCGTTCACAAGCGCCACAATCGTGTTCGCAAACAGCTTCCGCTTTGATCCTTCAGCCACAAATCACATCGCCGATCAGCTCGCATGTATGCCTGATGCCAGAGTTGCTGCGCTCACCAGTGCGGTTTGTCCAAGACACAATTCTATCTGCACGAAACACTTCTGCCGTCGTTGGAAACTACGCACTTGTGTACACGTGAATGTGAGTTGGACATCAAGTGAGGTGCCGATTTATATTTTCGTCAAAAGAGGCGAGTAAGCAGTGGACGAATGTACTGAAGTTACTACGAGATTTGGTTATCGTCACTGCACTTTAGTAGCAATCGTTTCTACCCAAGTCCGTATCTATTGAAATGTGATTCAGTAATAGTTGCTCAACGTAGGCTAATGCCAGCTTCACCGTTGGGAAAATCTGGTAACTCAAACTCAGATGGCATGCCTTCACACTTATGACGGCACACTCTCATACACAGCGGCTCAACTGAGCTGGAAATCTTCAATGCCCAGCATCAGGAGATCCATAATGGCCCGTATACACCACGAAAATGAAATATATGTAGGTGCATATCGTTAAATGTTTTTCAGGACGTACTTCCCGAATGCCGGTAAGCCTTACTCGTTCCTCCGCACACATTCCCAAAAGCGTAGCAAAACGAAAAATTAGTAAATACAGCATAGTTAGTGCCCCGCCATCAACCGTACAATGTCCGTACACCCGTCAACCATGAACAACTTCATATCGCAGGATCAGATGCCCTCAGCATTGCCCAGCACACTATGCGCATTATTTTCTTCGCTTCCCCGATTTGGGTAAGTCTCAGGAGTTGTTTTCTGTGTCGTGACCACCGGATGGGCTCGTATCGCCACCACCGTGTCGCTACCACCGGATGGGCTTGTGCGCCACCACCGGATAGGCTTGTGTCACCACCACCGGATGGGCTCGTGTCGGGGGAGAGAATGCCTATCAAAATTGCAGTTGTTCCATGCCTGCCAAAAAGAAAAAATATATATGGGAAACGTAAGATTGAGATGTGAGAAAGAATATGGGAAGGTGGTAAGTTTGAGAGTTAAAGCATATTCGATTTCGTCTTTGTCTGATGAATCCTCAAAAGCCGAGTCGTGGGGTGTATAATTTTATAGATTTCGTGGCCCTATGCGAGCGTGCTAAAAGACCCACCACGCGAAACACCGGTTCTGGAAGAAAGCTGCTCCGTAAACGTCTGCTGGAGCGAAACGTACCCGAATGCGATGTACAACAAATTCTTCGTGCATTTTTCGCGTCCCACGAAGGCTATAACGATAAACGTGAGGTATGTGCAGCTCAGTTAGCGCTCCCTGACTATCGGCATGACCATCCAGACTACCAGTTTCCTGCTGGTGCTTACCAAACTGCTACGACGAACGGTCGATGTGTCGCGAACTTGGACCATAATACCGCTGCTGAAGATCAGCGCCGAGAAGCTGGTGACCGTGACCGAATCGCTAATGATGCAGACCACCGCCAAGACGGCGCTAATGTTGGCCGGGTTGTTGCTGCTCACCTTCGACATACCGCTGGTAGCGACCGGAACGTTGCTACGACAGTTAACAACCAAGATGCCACCGAACATGGCCAAATGGCGCGTATCACAGATCAACGCCGAGAGATCACCGGTAACGGCCGGATTGCTGCTTTTAACCGTCGAGACGCTGGTCATAGCGACCAAATTGCAGGCGCCGCACCGCACGTTACAGTCAATACTGTGTCCTACTGGGCTGCTGCTGTTTCTACTACCCGCGGCCAAAGTGCTACTATTTCTACAGACCAAGGTCGCATTCCTAATGCTACGTACATCCGAGATGTTTCTCACCGCAACCAAGTCGCATCTACAGCAGCTACCCTTGACCAATCCCATGCAGATCGCGATGGAATCGCTACTGCGTCTACTATCCACGATCGAATTGCTGGTGGTGGTACTGCTCCCAGTCGATCTCCTGTTGGCCATGGTTGCATGTCTGCTGCTCTTTATGTACGAGATGACCAAGCTACTACTGCTGCAGCGCATCGCCGAAACGCTATTGCTCCTCACGGTCAAGCGATCACGGGTAATGGTGGTGATGCTGCAGGTCGTGACAGAGGTAGTGATGGCGCCGCTCCTCGTAGCCATAGTGATGGCCATGGCGCTAGTTTTCTTGGTGGCGCTAGTGCCCGAGCTTCGACTGGTCCTTCTTCTATTGCTACTGATACTACTCACGCGTCTAAGGCCGCAGTTTCACGCGCTGTGGATCTCGATGTACGAAGCCTCTCGTCGGATCAGACCGACGAGGATATGGCGACGAGTGATAACGATGACCAGAGCGCTGAGAGTGATGACAACGCTGTTATTGAGCTTTCAGAGGGTGAATACGAAGGTTAAGTAGGGGAGCCCTACTACGATGAGTATGATACGCAGGTTGTGGATGTCGCTTGGAATCCGACAACAATTCCATACGCATGGGCTCGACAGGATTATCGTAGAACAAGCAACGACAGACGTCGCAATGAACGAGCAGCTCGTCGAACCAACCAACGTTCGTAAGACGTTTTATTTCTAGAAAGGGCTCAGACCTTTTCATGTCGAACATGCATGCCAACAAACACTAAGTTAGTGAAATCACCAGATGAGTCACAATTTTTTCACTGCAGACAAATAATTTGCTGTTGACTTCCGTCTGTTTGAGGTTGAATCGCTACTACATTTTTTGACGTTAGTGTCCACGTAGTACCAGCCTTCGTTCGCTGACTTGATGATAATTGCCTCGTTGCATCTGACAAATGTCCCCAAATGTCAGCCTGCGCTGAAATATTGCTCGTCCGCGCGTGCGTACTTGCGGCCAATGGCGACACTTGACGTGTCCACCTTGCACTCCAGGCCTTCCTGCACGAAGACTTTCTCCAGGTCCGCGCGCGCGTACTTGCGGCCAGTGGCGACACTTGACGTGTCCACCTTGCACTCCACGCCTTCCTGCACGAAGACGCTCTCCCGGTCCGTCGCGAATGGCTCAAAGTCCGGGATGTTGCTCAGACGCAGCACCGACACCTTGATGGGGGCGATCAAGGGTGACGACATGACGCCGCGCTTCTCGTCACCCTCGCGAGTATAGAAATTATGTTCAAAACCGGCAGTCAAGATAAGGGAAATGCCGAACGAGGGCTCGATCACCGAGGGAACGAACTTTTCCTCGCTCACCATCTTCTCCACCAACTTAGTGGCCACCATGTCGCGCTGCAGCGTGAGCTGCTTGCCGTCGCACAGCAAGCTTAGCGTGGCCTCGCTCTTAGAGGTCAGCTCGTCCTCGAAAGCCTGGGCGCGTGGCACATCATCCTTCAAAGCCTCTAGCGCCTCGAGGATCGTGGCCACATCGGCCTTGAACGTTCGGCCAATCTTGCCCTTGTTCGGCTTAATCTCCACGATCAGGCGCTTCTCGGGATTGTCGAGACCACCATCTTGACCTTACTCTTCTTAGCGTTTGACGACAGGTCGTAGCACGAGCGGTCGGCGTGGCCGGCGCACTCCACCCAGCCGGAGCTCAACTTGATCTCCAGGTCTACCTATATGTATACTTTTAAACTGTTATTATAGTTTCACTTGATACTCTGAGTATCAAGTGAAAGTAAAAAGAAACACTGAATACTATGAGTAATAATAGTAGTAAATATTCTTAGTATCAGTGAAAATATAATAACATTATAAGATTAAATGTAGGTCATAACTTTATAAAATGGCTATATTTTAGGTTTTAGTACTTCCCGTTGCACGTTCTCATTGACAGGATTCGATGGTTGTGGGATTGTGGAGATCACTTGTCTATCAATCTGTACGTACTTAAGCGATTAGGACGACTGGATTCATACTCAGTAGTAGAGTATATTGAAGCATTGAAAATTTCACGTACTTGCATGCAGAGAGGTCTTCGTGTGAAATCCATTTCAGGAGAGTCCTACATATTCAACTCAACTTTTAAGGACTGCTGCTTGCTGTCGGCGAAGGTCTACGTGAATTGAAATTTGCACTTTTTAAGGAAAGGAATTATAATATATACGAGAAAACAATATATCAGTAAAAATTTAAAATTTAACGTAGAAATTACCAAGATGAATTCAAATTTGGCGCGACGTTGAAGTTGCCAAATCGTTCAGGGTTTGGGGTTGCGTTTTTCCTCGGGGTGACCATTCACTAATAAGAGATTGGTATTTAAAATGTTGTTTTGCGATTGGTGGAGCCGTGTTCAAACGAGCTATGATTGGTTGAGCTGTTGCTTCAACATGTGAAGTGTTTGCTGGCGTGTGGCGGCAATTTTCAGGCCAGCGTGGTTATCAAACGGTAATTTTAAAATTTGCCGACTGGCGCTTCTATCCGTCGACTCTGCCCGTTAGCAAACCTGCACCCCCCCCGTTATCGACACAGCCCAACTCGACCCAATTCTCGCCTAGTCACTGATTAACGGGGATCGTGTGGTGTAGTATTCACCATCAATGAAGGCGCTGCTACATCGAGCACATCTGCACCGCTGGGACGCACTGAAGAAATCGTTCGACAGTATTTTCGTCTGGCGCTACCATGAAGAAGATCCAGATGGTATTGACGGACAGTAGGCTTGACCGGATCGAGCTACTGAAGATCCAGCTGAACGTGTATACTATCCCGCGTCGTTCGTGATCCAAGCAAGCGGAGATCTTCCACACGTCTATCGCGTACAAAACCAAGATACTGGGTTTCTGTCGCACGCTGAGGTGGTGCTCTCCTCATTATATCTGCCATTCTGGCTGTGGAAGAAGGTCCATACTATTAATACGCTCGCTCAATACCGATCCTTAGAAAGCCCAAACGTACGTCGTACGTTATCTGGCCATCGCGGAGCTGCTGAACGAGGGGACTGTGGTACGCCCGCAAGGGTAAGCCACTGAGAAGCTACTTATGGGCTAGACGCTTAGTACACGTAAATGTGTCCACTTTCGAGCGATAAAAGACCGTCAGAATTTGCATTCACACGCACACACACAACTAGACAGCTGCTAATGGACGCACGTACACCGCCATCGACGCAAAAGAGCAGATCATTGAATACCCAATTCCACCGAAAGGATGTTTAAAGCTTAGCTACACAACGAGCTCGAACGCCTTGATCACATCCGCAACTCGTAAGAAGTCTTGAAGGTTCTGAGCACGTGCTGCCACCGCTGTCTCCAAAACCACGGTTGAAGGCTCTGAAGTGCGTCAATTTCGTATTCGGATACAGCTGACGAGCTATTGAATTACCTCCCCTCGACTACCCTCGTACCTACGAAAGGCTTGTCGCGAATTTGTTACACCGGAATCACTCGAAGATAGCCCCTTGCTTTTTGTACAAGTCCATTCCGTTAACAGTCCCGCGGATACGCATGGTGCTACAATAACATAACTGATAGCATCCTCACACAACAAAATATTTTTATTTGAAACTTGAGAGCTTCGTTTTCGTTTGGAAACGGAAGTATTCTTATAACTTCTGTCCACGCTGTTTGCGGTAAATGTGGTGTAGGGATTTCCAGATTCGACCATACGCCGACCTACTTTAGGTCAAGAATCGGCTCGGTCTGATAACCCAGAGCTTAGGAGCCAAGGATCACGGTAAGTACTCGGCGATCTGTCCGGATATGCTATCCGGATAGCCGCTGAGCTCAACGGCCGCCTGAAGAGTCGGTAGAGATCCGAAACGACTACATTTCACTAGATATTTGTATGAGAAGCATAGGATTAAATAGGAGGAGCCGAAAAGGCTCCCAGAAGATAACAGAGCAGAATTTTCCTAGTCCAAGACACGTGTACACTTTTCCGGTAAGTCCCTGCATAGGGCTGGATTATGCCTGCCGTCAATACTCGAGAGGCATAGCTTGTAGGGTATTGACTGGTAGCGCCAAGAGATTAGGTCGGTCCGGGTAGGACAAAGTCTCGCTACGCGCGAAAGAAAGTCCCGCATACTCAGCGGGCCGGTACGTCGGATAGCCCGGGTGCCGTAACACTTCTAGCTGAGCAGCCTCTGCGCTCGGTGACCTGTAAAAGCGCTCGCGCGCCGTCGTCCATCCTTTGGTGGAGGGCACAGGGTTGTGAACGAGCTCAGCCGAACCAAACTCGGCGGAGCCTCGGAAGTGATCTGACTTGGTTAGTCGGAACCGAGTGGAAGCGAGCCACTCGTCTGTCCCGGAAGGCCGGACCGCGAGGGGACCACCCTCTGCGCAGGCCATACAACCGCCGACCTAACTCGGCGATTCGTTGTGGTTTGTGTAAGGAATCCACATCTGACGATATTTGTGTGTTCTACTACACCACAACTGGTGCCGCGACCCGGGAAACAGGAGTGTGTGCTTGTTTTTATAGGTGCCAGCTAACCAAGTTAAGATGAAGAGAAGAGAAAGAGAAGAGTGAAGATGGTCAAGGGATCAGCAACTACGAGCGACGGAAGACCAGCGACGGCTGGAGGATCGCCTCTTCGTGGGGTCGGACCCGGCGGATCAACGACTCATCGCCATGACGATGGAGGTGGGACGAACCGTCCAGTTCGACGAGGATGGCCAAGACCAGGAGAGCGAGAACGGAGACGCAAGTGAAGGAGAGTATGAAGAGAAGGCCGAGACCGCTGAGCTCGGAGAAACGAAGACTACCGCCGAGCTACTTGGCGAGGTGGAAGAGTTGACGCTGCAGGTGGGACGCATGGGAGCCCCACGTCCTGTCGAGCGCAATTTATCCGCCGAGCTCGACGAAGGTGCGGACGATGAAGAAGATGAAGAAGACCATGGCGTTGCTCAAGGGGACCGTCCGCCCCTTATTCCAAAAGCGACGAGGAACGCCGATACGCCGAGCGCCAATAAAGTGTTGGCTCGACTCGGCGAGGAGATGAGAACGAGATCGGAATGGATGATGATGTTCGCGCCTGTGGCGATGGCGCAGGCGAAGTGGCCGATGTTGGGTCCCGAGTTAACTCAGCCGGTGCGTGCAGCCAACATCGATCAGTTGGTGGAAGAAACTGTGTTGCTGTTGAAGGCGATGGGCTATCGGTGCAACAGCCGACCAAACAGCCTCATTCTGTCCGACTGGAGTCTGACCCGTGGCGGAGCCGAGCTCTGGCAATGGAAGAAGAAGCTCAGAGTAGCGTTTGGATTGGAGAAGGCCCCTGGCGGAACGAAGAAGGTGTACAGCCGAGTAGCCGAGTTCAAACCACTCGGCGAGGACCCGAGCAAGATTCCTTTGCCGAAAACCCCGGAGACGAAGAGACGTGAAGTGTTCCGCGCTACGCAAGGGACTCCGTACTTTGAAGACTCTCACATGCTGACTCCATTAAAGCTAAACCCGACTCAGCGAGCGCCGAGTCGTGGGCAGCGAAATGTAGGTCGTTATCGTGAATTGTATGACGCTGCAGATGAGGCTGAGGCTTACGAGGAGGATGAAGAAGACGGCGACGCCTTCGACGTGAGAGGTAACCGTGAAGAAACCGTGAAGGACTACATTCGAAACTTGAGCTTTGACGCGGCTGAAGAAGACTCGACGCAGTACCTAGAAGTCCGAACCCACGCCTCGCTCGACAAAATCGCCGAGTTCGAAGGAAAGCGCTACCGCTCTGACGCGTCGCTCCAGTGGCTCAAGCGGTTCATCTACGAGATAAAGAGCACCAGGATGCCCCAAAGTGCATGGTGCGAGCCTTTCTCGCTATGCTTGGGACGCGCGGCGAAGAGTTGGTACAGGCAGCTGCCGAAGAAGACTCAGCGACGTTGGAAACTACTCAGCGAGGCGTTCCTGGATTATTACTGCTCACAGTTCGACCAATCCGCCCGCACTCGTTACTACTCGGCGAGACGTAAAGTCAACGAACCGATCTGCGACTTCCTGATCCGA